CAAAAGACGAAACAAACTTTTCATTGTTAGCAAGACCAAAAGTTGTTCCAGACAAAGTTCTAGTACAAAAGAAGTACACAGTTCCACAAGGAGTTGGATTGTTCGGATACCAACCTGAACCAGAAGAACTTCCAATGAGGTTGCAAGAACTTCAAGATGCTATAAACAAACTTCCATTGAGACATCCAATTGACGTCAAATTGTATTGGAGAGCATCTGAGTTAGGTCAGAAGGTTTTATATGAAACAGGTTGCTTCGATGATGTTTATGAGATAACAGGAGAAGTTTCTCAGAAGATAAGAGACTCACTTGAATTTCCACAAACTGGACCAATTGGTTGCAACAAGTTCGACTCAAACGAAAAGATATACTATGTCGACCTTAACGCTGCGTACATGAGGTTTGTCCAATATATTCCGACTGGAATTCCAAACGAAGATGGTGAGTTCCTGGGAAGGAACTATACAGTTGGAAAAGTCATACAACAACTGTATGATATTAGGAAAGCTTCAAACCCCAAACTTGCAATGACACTCAAATTGCTTATGAATTCGACATGGGGATATTCCATTAAGAAACCTCAAGAGATGAAGAGTAAACATTATGAGAAGGTCGACAACTTTGTTGAAAGGTTTTCTCCTTTTGTTTTGAAGTACGAATTCACTCAAGGTCAAAGTGGCTTAGTAACCACATTAAAACCTATTGTCGAACATTGGTCTTACCCTCAGTTCGCAAAGGCAGTCCTTGACGAGTACAACAAATTCTTCTCCGAAGTCAAATCGAAAGTTGTGGTTTACTATGAGAACATTGACGCACTCATGACGAACGAAGAAGGATACAACAAACTCATTGAAATGGGTATGGTCGGTGAAAAGATGGGTCGATTCAAATTGGACAAAATTTTCACCGAAGTTCATGTAATATCGAAAAGGAAATATTGGGGCATACTTGAAGACGGCACAGAAATAAAACATTGCATGAAGTAAAAAATTTATTTTCAAAAAAGTGACATTTTTTTTATTTTATTTGAAATGTACGCTGAGTTTGTTGGAGAAGACCGTTGGAAAACTTGTTTGTTAGATGAGAAATATGAAATTCACTGTTGTGAGTCATTTGAAGTCAGAAACAAAAAGACAAAAAGAGTTTTAAGCGAAATGATGGATATGCTATTATGAAGATGGATGGAAAACACTATCTTAAACATGTTGTCATTGCAACTCATTTTATACTGAATCTTAACAATTTACCTTTTGTAGACCATATAAACTATATAAGAAACGACAATAGACTTGAAAACTTACGTTGGGTCACTCGTTCTGAAAACAATAAGAACAAAGGCAAATTTGGAGATATTGTATTCGAATTTGTCGACGAACTAGAAGATGAAACAATTGAAATTACAGACTATGGCATACCATTTTAAAACAATATATTTTTACATATATTAAATGCTTCAGGTTGAAAAACAAAGAACAAAAGTAGCAGATACAAAACCATTAGACTATATCTTTACAAATGCTGGTAGGACTATTTCAGATGAAGAAATTTCATCCCGAGCATACAGGTTTGACTATCCAATTTGTTGGCTTCAAAGTCCTTCAGATGCAAAGGCAATAGGATTTAGAAGAGTTTTGTTTTCAAATAGAACTAACGCATTTATGTTCGCAGTATATTTTCATGGGCAGTATAAAGGTCCTGATGGTCTAATAGACAAATTTGACGAAATGAGAATCTTTACAATTCGTTCAGACGAAAGTCTTGAAAAAACTCTAAATGACTTTCAAACTCAAATGAACAAATATTATTGGGAATTTCAAGAAAAATACGACTCTTTACTAAATGGAACATACTATCTGAAACTAGAATATGACAAGATGAACTCCACCGTTTCATTTCAAAAGATTGAAATTAACCCTCCAAGAGATACAGAGTTTTTATTTTGGGAAGTAGACAAACGTTCTTGGGCACAATTTCTTCGGTTACTAAACCAGAACGAACCATTACCACCAGATGGTCCATTTAAATTTATACTTCCACCAGCAGATTTGATGGTTTATAGAAACGTGTTTGACCCTCAAAATGTTATGTGTCATGCAAGTTTCAGTTCAAGCAACAATAGTTTTCTATGTATTGGTAAGGACTTTTATGACTTTGCTTCTAAATTCTACGAACCACCTAGTAACAGTTTCTCTGACTTTCAAGTTTGGTTCACAACAAATGGTGTGCAACATATTATTCCATTGTACTGTGACTTTTATCTCGAATTGTCTTTCATATATATCTACGGAAAAGTGCTGAAAAAGTATTGAATGTGAAGATATTAGAAAATAACATTTTTTCTAACATCGTAGAAAACTCATGAAAACAATTTATTTTTGACACTTTCACAAAAAACATAAAAAATAAAGTTAGTTTTTTTAAAAAAATATTTTTTATCTTTATTGTAAGAACATGTTAGCAACAACTGGCACAACAACTTTACCAAACTCTTTAGTTATGAACCCAACTTCAATGTTAGTAGATACGTCAAAAATTATTCCAGATTCGTTTGATTTTGACACGGCAATACAGAAGATAAAGCAAGAACTTCTCCAAGGAGATTTAGATTGCACTGCAAAAGATGAAACAAATGAACAATATCTTTATGAAATGCAGGATATTATTGACCATCTACCTAAACTTCCTGAAATACAACAACAAAAGCTTACTATTCCAGAATTTGACGAAATTGCAGTTAAAGCTACTGACTCAGCAGAAATAAAGAAGTATATTCGAAAGAAAAACGACAAATATTTGGCATATTATTGCAACCACAAAGTCATGGACAAAGACTGCGATATGGTATATAAGAACATATCTGACTTATACAAATCTGAAGAATTCAAAACATATGACAATTTTGTTACGTTAGTAGCTAAATGTGTTTGGGAAATAAGAAATAAAGACAAAAGAAATAAGGTATGGAACGAACAAATCAGACCTACATATTCTGAGTTTAAGAGGACCCTTGACGCTATAGTTGTACTTGCAGGACAAATTTCAATGTACAATGCTAAAATGAACCCACAATGTTCTAAATGTAAAGCAGCAATTAGAGGTTACACATATGCCCTCAAGGAAATAGAGCGTATGCGAAATGACTCTGCTGACTTGAAGAAAGAAGCAGAGAAACTAGCAGAAGATAAAATGAACATATTGGCATTTCTAAACAAAAACTATCCAACAGCTGACGATTTCCTTTTATCTGACGTCAAGAGGAAGTATAAAGAAACATTCAATACCATCAAAAATTTCGATGTACTGACAGAAGAAATAGAAGCTACGAAAGAGATTGGGACAAAGTTGCAATTCGGCACTTTTTGTAAAAAAAAATGGGGTCATACTCATAATGAATAGAGACTTATAGCCAAGTCTTGATATCATGCAGGGAGAATATACATAGATAAGCAATTATATTTTATAGTAGTAGTATTCGGAAATTCTTACAATTTACAATACAATTTTCAAAAATGGATAAAGACTTATAGCCAAGTCTTGATATCATGCAGGGAGAATATACATAGATAAGCAATTATATTTTATAGTAGTAGTATTCAGAAATTCTTACAATTTACAATACAATTTTCAAAAATGGATAAAGACTAATAGCCAAGTCTTGATATCATGCAGGGAGAATATACATAGATAAGCAATTATATTTTATAGTAGTAGTATTCGGAAATTCTTACAATTTACAATACAATTTTCAAAAATGGATAAAGACTAATAGCCAAGTCTTGATATCATGCAGGGAGAATATACATAGATAAGCAATTATATTTTATAGTAGTAGTATTCGGAAATTCTTACAATTTACAATACAATTTTCAAAAATGGATAAAGACTTATAGCCAAGTCTTGATATCATGCAGGGAGAATATACATAGATAAGCAATTATATTTTATAGTAGTAGTATTCAGAAATTCTTACAATTTACAATACAATTTTCAAAAATGGATAAAGACTAATAGCCAAGTCTTGATATCATGCAGGGAGAATATACATAGATAAGCAATTATATTTTATAGTAGTAGTATTCGGAAATTCTTACAATTTACAATACAATTTTCAAAAATGGATCAAGACTAATAGCCAAGTCTTGATATCATGCAGGGAGACTCTCTACAAATACAAAAATTGATTATCATAAGGAAATACAAATTTATCAATTTTCATGTGAAAATTACATAAATTTGTTCTCCAATAAATAGCAATAATACTTTGAATGTTATATTAAGTAATATAGCTTCAGGTAAATAAGCTTACACTTCAAAAATATACTGTTTATTCATTAATTTTAAAAAAAGTCCAAATTATCTAATCTTGCTTACTCTTCCTTTAAACTTCTTTGTGCCAAATTTAATATTGCCTTCAAAGATGGAATAAGGACATTAGGTTCAATCCTTCGGCTTTCGACAATTTCCAAAATGTGTTGAATTAATTTCAAACATTCATCGTGTTTTGAAGCTCTTTGCTCAACAATCTGATTACCTGCCCTTGTAAGAATTCTTACTGCTCTATCTTCATTCAAAACATTAGCGACTTGAACCTTAATAATCGCATTTGGAATCACAACAGTGATGAGAGTTATGACGATATAAAAAATATTTTATTATACTCATTCGAAATTAAAAATAATAAAATTTATATATATTAATTTCATTAAATCAAGGTTAAAAATCTCACCGGAAAAATAACCTCAGTGTGATAAATTTATCACCGGAAAAATTTACAATAAGGTTAATACCGAAAATATCGAAAAATCAACATTTAAGGTTAATTTAAGAGTATGCACTTTTGTCACCTACTCGCTACGAAATTGTTTAGAATTGTGAACCATTGCAACATAAAACATGTAAAACGCTTATGTTAGAAAAAATGTTATTTTCTAATATTCTAACATAAACATTATTTTTGAGGAAAAAAATGAAGGTTCTATACGGTTTCTAACCGCCAATCTTTATTTCTTATTTCCCAAAGGGTTCTCTCTGTTTGGAAGTTGTATCCAAGGACGCTTGGCAAAGAACTTTATAATGGCTTCCTTCTTTGCTTGCTTTATGTCGTCGAAAGGAGTGCCTTCTGGTACCTCAATTGGAATTCCAGTCGAAGTCTCGAGATTCAAGGCAGCCCTTCCCGTTATCCAACCGTTAACAAGCTTGCCTTTTACATTCTGCCTGAGGAAGTCTTTAACAAGCTCGTTAATTTCAATTAGGTAAATTGCCTCGTCGGTAGGTTCGACCTCGACCATTGCTACTGACAGTAGCAGTACTTTTACTGACATTAGCAGTACTTTTACTGACATTAGCAGTACTTTTACTGACATTAGCAGTACTTTTACTGACAGTAGCAGTACTTTTACTGACAGTAGCAGTACTTTTACTGACAGTAGCAGTACTTTTACTGACAGTAGCCAATAAATTTAAGAGGATATTATGTACATAGACTATTAGTAAATGCAGTTGCAATGTGGGCTTCACCACGTTATGCATGGCATGTTTACAAACTTCTTGACGATTTACATACAGAAATTAGAAAAGAGCTAGAGAACAAGCTTGAAGCAAAAGACAAAAGCATTCAGAAAAGAATACCACGTTCGGTACCAAAAGGAAAGGAAAAGAACTATAAGTATATGATTTATACTGAAGATATGGAAGACAGTGACATGGTTATGTTGCATTTAGTCAGAAGAAACAACAAAAGCTTTTACGACCTTGCTAAGATTTACAAATCTGACAGAAATTGGTTCTATCGCGAAAACTTAGTTAGTATCCCTAACTTGGGTACGGCGGCACTGCGCGCCTCCGTACACCACTTAGCGGTTTTGACACTTTACGAAACCGGTAACGTATATTTTACAACACAACCATAACACCAACTTAACCTTAAATATTTACAAAACCATCTGACACATAAACGACTTCACTAATGACTTCACTAATGACTTCACTAATGACTTCACTAACGACTTCACTAACGACTTCACTACCGTCCTCACTAAATAAAAAATAACCTATTTTTATTTTTTTTTTAATTTTTTATTTCATTACAAAGACATGTCCGACTACATTTACTATGACTCTTTCCCAGAACGTTTCCGTGAACTATTCAAAACTCAAGTAAAACTGAGAAACATGCATTTTAACAAAGACAGACCCATTGACGATGAAAGAAACCCCGAATATATTACAATCCCATATGACGCAAAGTTCATTGCATACATTCCTTATGGTCGCAGAGGAACGAAAACTATTTCAACAAAGAACAAAAATTATTTCTGGAGCGATGAAGAAAATTGCCTTATCTACATAAATGCATACTTAAATAAAGCTACATATTGTACAAAAGAAGGTTGGACTGGATTTGAGCTCTACATATACGACGACGATGGAAACAGACGCTGTGTATACCCATACGATAATATGTACCATTGTTTTCATCAAGCATTAAACGAATACATAGTCAGTAAGGGTCTCATTCCTGCTGAGTAGAAATGTTATATTTTTGTTCTGTCATTTATAAAAAAATAAACTTAAAATTAATGATATCACCACCCTCACACGTATGAAAACATAGCACAAAAATAAATTTAGGTGAAGTGGTGAAATCTCACCTCTTTTTTCACCTCTTTTTTCACCTCATGAATTCATTGCTTTATAACTCTCTTCCTTGGTTTCTTTTTAGTTGCTTTCTTCACGTCTGTCTCCAACTTGACTGTCTTTCTTCTTCGTCCGTAATGATACCAGTTACTTCCACCAGTCAATGGGTCAAATGGTCTTTCGTAAGGGTTTCCATACATTCCATAGGGACCATACGGAAGAACTACTGGTGGAGGAAGAGTTCCATCGACTCTATTTAAATGCATTGTTTCACCTTTCATCTGGTCATTAAAGTCTTTTGCATGTTTTGCAAACTCATCGTCCTTTCCTAAAGCATTTTCTGACTCAGTCGCAACCAAATTGGATGTTTTATTTATGAGCCCTATTTTATTTAATCTTAACTTCTTTGCAACCCAGCCTCCAATCTTCCCTTTATTTGCATCTAATGTCTTCGAAACCCTTCCTCCACTCATTTTATTTACTGCGTCATAAGCTCCAAGTGCTTTTGCTCCAAATGCTAATGCTTTTGTTCCCATTGCGCCTAAAGCTGCCCAAGCTACCATTTACACCATATTAAAATCATCTCTCTTCAATATTATCTCATAAAAGTTCTCGTTACTGGAGAAAGTCAATGAAACATAAACGTTCTCACGGGCTTCGCCCTCACCGCTTTGCGGTCTATCTAACTTCTTTCTTATCTCATCTATACGCTTCAAAATGTCTGAACAATTGCTAACATCTTCTACAACAGTTATTTCATCATGAATGACCTTCAAGAACAAGCTCATTTAATATGCAATTAAAATCATCTCAATAATGAGTCCATCCTTTCCATCTTTAGGTAGCACAACATCTTTCATTGAAGAAGGTTCGACAAGTCTTATATTAAACTTACTGACAAAGTTTGTTATACTATAATGCTTCGGTGGCGAATACATGTAGTTTGAAAGACATAATATAGATTCTTCAGCAAATTCACTTATACTGGATTTTATAACAATGTTCTCACGAGACCAAATACCACCAATTGACAATCTTGTAAGCAATCCTGCTGAACCTTCTACTGTAAACATCGATGGTAACATTCCACGAAGGTCATCTATTGACATCGTTGAGTCACTGAATTTAAATATTTTCTTAAAGCAATCGTCATTATCTAACCATGCAATAGCTTTGAAGTTTTCATTCGAATATACATCTGCTTCATTAAATGTAAAACCTGACTTCTTTGCAGAGATGACTTTAAAATCTATTGCATTTGTTTCAAAATTATATACTATGGTAACTTCTGAAGGTAATGGATGCCCTTCCGCAGTAAGTTGTTCTCTCACTACCGTTTGAAGCTTTGTGTTAAAAACTTTCATGTCATCTCCTGTGTCTAGGTTCACATACACAGCAATGGGAAAACTATCTTGCTTCTTTGTTTCATCATTATACCTCAAAACATTAAAGTTCTTCAATAATATTGTCCTTCCTGCTGGAATACTTCGAACCTGTCTGATTTCAATAGCTTTCTCACCTCCTACATACTCTACCCAGTGTCTTGGATATTCATAAGTATACTGACTTTCTTGAATTTTGGTTGGTTTCATCATAACATGTTCATAGTATATCTTTATACTCTTGTCAGTTAGACTCGGTGCTATGTTCTGAATATTTCTGACTTGCATTTTTAATGGAGATAAAATGAAGCATTTAATACATGACGTAGATGAAGACATGAATGAAACTACAGACAAACTTAACTCTTCTCTCATTCTTCCTTTCAGCAAAGATTATGAATTCTGTTCAAATGGTGTGTATTTCTATTGTGGAAAGATGGGTTCAGGTAAGACATTTAACCTCATTCGTCATATACTCATAACAGAGCGTTTAGGTCAAGATTCATATTATGACCAAATCATTATATCAGCAACTTCAGACTCTATGGATTCAACAGCGAAAACATTTATGTCAAAAGTTCAAGCCTCTGTCGTTAAAGTTCCAGACAGTGAACTCATTGAATTTCTTCAACGTTACGTTCGACGTAAGAGGAAATATTATGCCATCGTTGAATTTATACAGTCAGGAATGCAAAAGACTTCAGAAGAGATGGAAAGAATTATTGACAAACACCACTTACGTCAATACTCAGGAGTTTACGATATGAAACGACTGACAAACTACATTCTATCAAAACTTTCAAAATACCCCTTCAAAAAGTATCCTTCAAATACTCTGCTCGTTTGCGACGACTTCGCCGGAAAAGGTTTAGTGTCAAAGCCTGACTCACCATTAGCTAACATCATTACTAAAGTCAGACATTACCACTTAACTGTAGCAATACTTATGCAAACATGGCGTTTCCTTGCTTTAAACATAAAACGTCTCATAACTGACTTCGTTATCTTTCAAGGTTTCTCACGCTATGACATTGAACTCATTTGGAAACAGTCAGGTATAACATTACCTTTTGAAGAAATTTGGGAAGCATATAAGTCTCTCATCTCTCCTCGTTCATACCTTGAGATTCATATCATGACTAATACCATTAAAGTCAAAAACATTCCATGGGAACGACCAACATTGTTTTAAAGTTTAACCTTCAATTGACTGATGGTAAACAAATTCCATGCATCTCTGTCGCCATTTCTGTTAATATTTTTGCTGTCATTCATATCATCCACTTCTCCATCCGTTAGCTTTTGAGGATATGCGTTAGAATAGCTGTTCTTAAATGAAGGCTTTTCACCTTTGAGAGCATAAACTCTATAACTTTCTGCATACTTTATGTTTGAACCTCCTGAGCCATCATTGACATAAATTTTTATAGGCTTCCACCCTTTGTTCATGTTCCTGCTTCTTCCCTTAGCTCTTTTGTTCAGTAGTTCTACATCTTTATACACAGCACCTGTCTCAGTGAATTCAACAATATTTTCATTCGTTAGCTTTACATTCAAACCCTTGTCGAGTATATTGTTCATTTCATACATATAAAAGGTTTTTATTCTATATGAAATGAGAAGCAAATCCATCTTAGCTGGTGCCGTTAATGTTCCAATTGAACCAACATCAAATGTGACTACTCACGAACGACAACAATATTGTCATAAAGAACTATAGTTCGGAGTGTTTGAAAGAAAAAGAACCAGAACTGAAATCCGTGAATTTAAACTCAGCTTCAAACGCTAACGCTACATCAGATGTTAAGTTAGAGTATCCACCACTGGACCAAATTCTTTCAAGAGAAGCCAACGACAACCCTTACACAAATGTTCAAACAAATCCTTCAGATAACGTAGACCATTACCTTCTTCAGTTATACCAAACAATTTTACTCAAAGACGATAAGAAGCTTTTGACAAATCTTATAAGCAAGAACCAAATAATTCTAACAAAGGAGGACCTTGAAAATGTTATATCACGAATAACAGGGAAACAATGTGTCATTGACTATCTCGACCCTGAAATCGAATGCTGTGGTCAAACGCCACCATTCATGAAAATAGGTAACATCCGCATCATTGAAACACCAGGAACTACAGGAGTTGAGTTTAAGTATAAATATTCGAACGAGTATACAAAACTTTCAACAGAATATAAGCTTTGTTTGAAATATGTTTTAGTAAATTAAAGCAATTTGTAATATCTATCCAAAACTTCTTCAACAGTATCGAACTCATCTTCATAATGCAAACCTAATCTT